TGCAGCAACTCGGCTTAGGGTGGTACTTGGTATGGTTTTTTTTTTTTTTTTTTTTTTGATAAAGATAATGGTTAGAGATTAGTATGTTAGATATGTTAATGAGGGGTATTAAATTCGGGACTTGAGAGTGCAAACCACGAGCTGCCATTTAAGACAACAAATGACTCCTGGATTACGGCATGTGCAATGCGATTCTTTGTTTCTCGGTCTCCCTGGTTATCTAGAAAAGGTAAAGTTCAGAAATAACGTTGTTGATGATGTGGAAAAGATATTTGAACAAGTCTAGGCTAGTTCTTTTTTGTGGATTAAGCATAAGTCAAAACAGGAAATGTTTAGTCTTCTCCAATTGGCAGCAGAACCCCAATTCATTGCTTAAAAGTTAAAACCAAGTCTGGGGGCTTTAATTTAGGATTGAGGTTCCGGTTTGGTTTTTTGGAACCTTGGTTACGGTTGTCACGCAGTTACTTGTGTTACTTTTTCCTTTCTTATAATTGTCACGGGATAGAATATCTTTTGTATTTTTTTAATTAATAATATAATTGATTTTCCGTTAAAAAAAGAACAATTGAATTTTTTTGGGCACTAATATAATTCATATTTTTGAAGTTTTCTTTGATAAAAGATTTCAACCAACTTTTATTTATTTATTTTTTAAAATAGGTAATGGAATTTCAACCAACTTTATTTTAAAATGAAACATGAAACTTGGAATGTGAAACGGATAAAGTAACACATCTGACTTGGGACGTAGAGTTTGAAGTCAAAGTATGGTTTCCAAATTTCTAGAATGAGTTGAAAGCATACTTGAGTGGAGCATCTAGAATAATGACTTTGATTGATGGGAATGCTTCACGCGTAATGTGTGACCAGCGCCGCGTGGGGCATCTTAGCTAGACTTGGTTGCAAACTTAATGGATTCCCGTCAACTGGGCAATAAATTGAGTAGAAAAAAAAAAAATAAGTTAAAACCTCTTTTGGGCCCTCTATTTTAACAAGAAACTCTTTTTTAGTCTCTTTATTTAAAAAACTCTTTTTTAATTCTTAAATTTTAAAATTCAATCCTTTTTTAGTCCTTCCATCATCTAACGTGACATTTATGTAAAAAAAAATTATAAATGTTACATTAAATAACAAAAATTCTAAAGTAAAAAGATTAAAAAGAGATTTTTTTAAGTAGAGAGACAAAAAATGACCATTTTTAAAATAAAAAGATCTAAAAGGGGCTTTTAATTTTTAGTCATTTTTTAGTTTCTCCATTTTAAAATTTTCATCATTAATGTGTCACATGTGTAAAAAAGAAAAGAGAGATTAAAAGGGAGTTAGATTTTAAACTTTAAGGATCAAAAAGAGATTTTCTTAACAAAAAGAGAATTTTCTTTGTTAAAGTCAAGGGATGAAAATGAGGTTTAACATAAAAAAAGAAGAAGAGAGAGGCAGATATCATAAGAAATTTGGGTTTGTTATGAAATTAATTGTAATAACACAACAAAATATTCAAAATAAAAATTGGAAAATAAAAATAAATTTATACCTTAAAATCTTATCTAATTTAAATTAGACATTATTTTAATTGGATCATTATTTTAAATTGAATTTTATTGTATATTTAGATTGAGGAAAATAGAAGAGAGAAGAGAGGAAAGTTTTTTAACTATTTAAATTATAATAATTTTTATATATTGTAATGTGATTGATAAAAAAACTTCATTTTCTCTCAATTTCTCTCAATTTAAATATACTATTAAAGAAAAATCATATAAAAACAATTCGTGTTGATAATAATTCATGAAATAATATGAAAATAAATAAAATAAGAACCTAAAGAATTAGAAAAGAAATATCAACAAGCAAAAAGAAAACTGTAACTAAATGTATATAAGAAAACTGTAACTAAATTATTTATATAGGAAGAAATTATAATTTTTAAAATGAAAATTTATTAGATAATAATTCTTATCAATAATTTTTATATATTGTAATTCTCATATGTTGATGAATGTTATATGCAACATTGATTAATTTCAAAGAAGAGAAAATCATTAATTATCTATTAGTGATGAATTTTTTTTATTAATAAAAAAATTATTTTATTATTAGAAAATATAAATGATACTTTTATACTTACACATGAGACTCACATTATCATGTGTATATTGAGTGAAAACAGTTTACAAATATTCCTTTCTACCGCCTACTAAAGCACTGTCCTTGCACAACAAAGTGGATTGCTATTCCAATCCACTGACAAAGATTTGATCTGAATTGAGTCCGCGATCTTATCTACTGAAGGTTCCATATCTCTGAGGATAGCTTTATTCGAAGCACCACAGATATGCCAGAAAGTGATGATAAAAAAAAATAATAATAATTATTACAACCTCCGGTTCGATTTGCCTTTTTCATTGTTTTCATTGGTAAAACCTTGTAAGAAGTGATGATAAATAATTAAAAAGGACCATGCCACTGGCTGCTTCTCATTGGTAAACCTTGCATACGTTGCCTAAAAGCAGTGCGAAGAGAACCATGCAAAACCGTTTGTAAATCCCACTAAGCAAATATCTTTGTCCAGACTTGGTATGAGAATGAGCACTGCAGCAGTACGCGGTTTAGCTCCTCCTCTTCCTGATTCCATGGTGGACAATTCAAGTTTCCACCTTTGACTTGAATGCCTCTCCTTTCCAAATTCTTTTCTGTTGACAGCCTGTCAAGAAACATTGTACAAGCGAAGAAGATAATTCTCCCCAGAGAAATTTATTCCATATTGCCTTGATAAAATCTGCATCTGGAATCTTTAGATTTGGGAACATCAAAACATAAGCCTTTTTTGATGTGTTTAATCCATCTTTGTCAAACCTCCAAACTCTTTTATCCTCCTTTCCCATCATCACACTAACATTCGCAGTTAACTTTAGCAATGTCTCTCTTCGTTACAGTCTACCAAAAAGACTTACTCCATTTTAAATTCCATGGCCAGACCCCATTACACCAACCCGCCATTTTCTAAATTGTTACATTATTTCCAAATGATAAATTTCTTATAAAAAAATGTTTAGTACACACTCATTTAACAAACTCTTAATTTTAACATTTATTTTGATTTAATTATTAAAATATAATATAAATACGATTGATTCAATTAGTTTTTACATTTAACTATATAAATAGTTATATTTTTAAGTTTATCTGTTTTTAATTTTAAATTAAAAAATAATAATTTTTTAATAAATCTATTATATAATATATTAAATTGAAATATTTTTCAATCATTATCTATTTCTTAGTCTTGAAAAGACTACAACTAAATGGGGTGTTTGGTTGCGGGGAAACTTTGCTCCTTAAAGTTTTCTAAAATTTCTCTCTTATAAGATTATTTACGTATTTTTATACATTAATGCTACAATAAAAGGAGGGTAAAATTGATAAATTTAACTTTTATTTTTTTATACAATTCTCAACTTCTAAAGTTTTCTTTCTATCTACTTTGAAAGGGAAAGGTTTCCCTATAACTATTTTCATATTAGATCCACTTAATAACTTTCCTTATATAAACTTTTCACCAAACACAATAAAATTAATAATTCAACAAAATTAAATTAATAATCCAATGAAATTCTAATAAAATTTTATTATAAAATTTTATTACAAAACTTAACAACTTTTCATGTAGTATTTTCTAATTTTCTGTATAGTATCTTCCTAACCATTTTTTTTTTTTTTGATAAAAACTTTCCAAAAAATGGCATTTTAACCACACATGTGCAAAGGGTAATCTCCTACTCACACATCCTTCCAAAACTTAACGTTGGTTCCTCCACTAACCTCCCACCTAAAACTCTTGCTTACTACAGTACCCGACCCCATGCTCACTGACCCCACCCATACAATATCATACAAAACTTTAGACAGCCTCTGCCTTCGAATATCGCCCACACGGCTACTATATTATTCTCCCCACAATAATTCTCAGTTACCACCCCCTTCCATGAACTCTCTCCTGTTCTGCTTTGAATCTAGCCCACCACTTCCCTAAAAGTGCCAAGA